GGGCATTCAGGGCTTAACTCTGGATCGGAAGCCCCCTCTAGGCTGAACACGGGAACAGGATGGCGCTCAGGAGGAGCTGACACTTGAGGGCGCTTACGAGGAGCTGGCACTGGGTGCTTTCTAGGAGTGGGCACTGGAGGGTGCTCTGGACTGGATTCGGGGTCTGGAGCCCTCTCCTCTTCGCTTTGGCACTTTCACTGCACCATACTCAGCTCACCCTCAGCTGCGGTGCAGGGGGAGGGAGCTTTCTCCCTCATTGTCGCCGGCTCTCGCTTCTGGCGAGATCATCCTCGGGAGTGACGGTGAGAGGTGACCCGTTTCTTGCCAGAATCCACTCCACAAATGCGCCGAAATCCTCTCGAGGACCATCTTTGGACGACGGCGCTCTGCACTCGATGTTTATGGCATTGTAGAACGCACAGAGCGCGTCGTCCGGGTAGCTGGTGGTGCTTGCTAGCAGCTGGAACAGTCTAGTATGGTCGTTTGTCCCCCTGCTCCAGCAGGAGGAGGAGGTATTCGGGGCAAAGAAGGGCATCCATCCAGGGAACAACGGGAAAAAAAGACACTGGGTAAAAACGGGAAATAAAACGGAGGGTAGACACACGGAGGTTACTGTCTTGGTCAATTCTTCTGTCACAATCTGTGATGGCAAGGAACGATGGAGACGAGGAATAAACTAAACTTTAATCCAAGAAACACAGGGTACATCCAACACTGGGAACGGCAGGAAACACATGAACATAACAAGTAGAACCGACAGAGACAGACTGCACAGACTAGGACTTAAATACAGGCAGTGGTGGAAAGAGTGCTGAAAAAATATACTCAAGTAAAAGTACCGTTACCTTCCAAAAAAAGTACTTGTCCAAAAACTACTTGAGTAAGAATAAAAGAGTAGCCTATTTAAAAGTACTCATGAGTATTGAGTAGTGAGTACTGAGCTGTGGATTCTACCCCCGCATAATAAACGCAGTACACCGCAATTGATACATTTTTAAAACGTTGTACATTCTGTAATTCACATTATCTTATTTGTCATAAATAATGAAGAGTATCTATCATCCAGCAGTTTTGAATGCCAACTCTTTAAAATACATCAAAACAGCACGGAAACAATATTCAGTTGAAGAAAAGATGAAAGTTATTCTGAGTACAATCATCCACATTTAAATCATAAAGTTTGAAAAAATTGATTTAAAATCATGTGTAAGGCCACTGAGACAGCATATGCTGTTGTTGCACATAAAATATTAAAGGGGTCATGTGATGCTGCTAAAAAGAACATTATTTTGTGTATTTGGTGTAATGAAATGTGTTTATGTGGTTTAAGGTTAAAAAAACACATTATTTTTCACATACTGTACATTATTGCTTCTCCTCTATGCCCAGCCTTTCTGAAACGCGTCGATTTTTACAAAGCTCATCG